TCAGTGGGCCGCAAGATTGTCATTACCAAGACAGACTCCCAGACAGGGCAGTTTTGCTCAATGCGCTTGCGTACCTAGAATTTGCAGCGTGCACCGATTGAACTGTAGCAGCGCTTTGTTTGGGCGCAGAGGGAGCGCACGGCTCTCACTGTTAATGCTGTGTGCAACCAGAATGCACCTCACGTCACGTGCCCTCGCTTGTGTGTGTCACTTTAGTAATATAGAAAAAGGAAAAAAACGTACATGGACAGAAAGCAGTGGAGGCTGGCAACCGTGCATGAGGGCCACAGTAAACAAAATATCTTGTGGGCCATATATAGAACCCCAAAGGATCACGTATGGCCCTCGGGCTGCACTCAGGCAGCCCACCACTGACTTAGAAGGAGAAAGTTCCATAGTCTATTAGCAAACCCTTGAGCAGTTCACTGGCATGTGGAATAGATTAATTTGTATGATGCCAAGTGTGTACACGACATTTCACAGCCAATTAAGGGGCACAGTGCCTGCCCTGAAGAGCATGCATTTCGAAGCCCTGATTCTCCACGTCAGGCCTCGGGGCCTGCAGGGAGTCCACATAGCTCTAGCCAAACGATTAGGAAGGAGACGACTTCCTCCCCTGCCCCTTGCAGGGGGTTATTTAAGAGCTGTCGAACAGCTGGCGCTCTGCTGCAGCACCCTTGTAAATCGGGGGCATCGCTGGGGAAAGCACAGAGCAGTTTCACTTCAGGAAGGTTTCTGGGCTGATCAAGCGCCCCCTTCTTTAAAGACGTAAGCTCTGAGGAAGGAGTAAGGAATGGGATAAGCATCTAAATCCATCACGGATCAGCTCACCTCTCCCAAACAAAGCAGGGTCAAAGGGTAGCACTTAGATGAAAACCTCCAAGGAAAAGCCAGGATCCCAGATCCAACAAAGTAGTCCTAAGAAAAGCTCTGTACTCCGTGATTGAGGATGGTAGGGGGTGCTGTGCTGCTAGAGGTGACAACACTTAGACAAAACCAAGGCTTGCAGTGATCCGGATCATTAACATCCAGAGTATTTGTATGAGTTGGCTCCTGGGATGTCAGCCAAATTGCAACATGTTTGATGACAGTCTGTTCCCCACAAGCCCCTGCAGCAGTAACTGTAGGCAGCTGTCTTCTCTGTCCCAAACTGCTGTTGTCGTGCAGCTGTGGTGTATTGCCGCATGTGTGTGTTCCACCCCAGAAGTAGGAGCATTTCAGTGGTGGGCTAGTGTACTCACCCATTTCGTGGCCCTGTAGTACAGTGAAGAGAAAGAGATGTCAGTTGTCTATTTCAATCCAGCTCTGGTAATTGAAAACAACAGATTTTACTTCCCTTACCCAGTTCAGAGCTGGAATCACTGCAGTGCTTTTATCATCTGGTAAAAATGACCTTCACTTCTGCAATGCAGAGAGGCTCACTCACGACTGTGAACCTTCAATCAGATTTGTGATACTCAGTCCCCCTGGGAAATGCTTGGAGTATGAAGCTACTTGCAATACTAAGCACGTCAACATTTTTCTAGCTGAATTTGCTTTAGTGGCTCATTTGTTGTGGCTCGGAATTCAGGGTTTTTATTCCCCAACTGCAATCAATCTTTCTGCAACTTCCTTGATCTTCCCAAACTAAGGCCAAAATACTTTTCTGCCCCTTTCATTTCAATGCAGGGGAGCAGAAAGGCAGGGGGCTTGCTAGGGGAATGGAAGCAGGGAGGGAACAGCTAGTTAGGTTGTAGGAGGGAGGCAAGAGCATACTCCCTCTGTCCCTGCAGTAGTCTTTCTGCAGGAAGCCAGACCTGCAGGAGGGGAATGGGTGAAGTGAGAGGGCTGACATTTCCCACGGCATCTTTTTCTCCCAAGCTTGTTGGCAACTCAGCGTAAGACTGAATGTCAGCATCTTACACCGATTCTCCCTTGGTGCTCAATAAGGGCCTCCATTGGATAGCCCTAGTTTCCAGCACACCCAACAAGATCTGCAGGCCAGCCTTCCTCCTGCTGCTGCTGCTGCGGGGTAACCCCCCAAACACCAGATGGAAGAGCAAGAAGGAAACGCTGAGTGCATCCTTGCAGAGTATCCAGTTTCCGAGGCAGGTTACTCACATGTAGCTCCCTACACCAGCCAGAGATCTAAATCCTGAGGGAGGAGAGAACAGACTCATCGGTCAGTTTTGTTAAACAGTATTTGCACGTTATGAAAACCAAGATTAAACCCCAGCACAATTCAACTCAGCGAGTTACAACATTGTTTGTTTACAGCAACACACAGGTCACTTATGGTTAGTAATAATCTCATGGTGCTTTTGGTAAGTTTAGACCTCTCTGATTCATTGGGTGGAATCCTAGCCATCCTGAATCAATGGGAGTTTTTGCCATTGACTTCAATGAAGCCAGATTTCCCCGTGTCTTTACTAAATTCCATGTTCTACTTACTGACATTTCCCCAGCCGTATATTTCACAGTTCTTCCTGATTTAACCTAGTTTGTTCTCTTTCCACTCACTGCTGTTTGCTCTAAATAACAGCTGTGTGGCCTGAAACAGCTGCTGTTTCCCACCTTCAGTTCAGAGTTTGCAATTCACTCTGTGGTGTAAAGCACTTAGGGGCAAAGAGATGTGTCTGAATATAAATTATTGTTTCAATTAAATGCAGGACCACAAATTCAGTAAGCAAACAATCCTATTCACAAAGCTTGAGAAATGTGCTTACATTGGACAGAACAAGGGGAAATGACGACTATGGAAGGGAGATTTTATTTAGCAGTTACAGTTCAATTTGTTTTTTATATTATGCTTATTCCTATAGTTCCTGGTCATGGGTCAGGGACCTATTGTGCTAGGTGCTGTGCAAACACAGAACACAAAGAGCTTGTACTTAAGTAATATGAGATATAAGTGGGCTGCACATAGATGGGTGGGGTGGAGTGCAAGGTCGAAATGCCACAGCACAATATCAGCATGACAGGCAATGGTCACAGCACGTATGCTGCCAATCTACTGTTAAGTTTTTTGTATGCATCATGACAGGGGAGCTTTGAGGAAGAACAATGATGTGGCTTTGCAGGTGTTTGGGGAGAGCTCCTTCCAAACAGGAAGAGGCTGCACAAGGCAAAGAAAGAAAGTGCTTGTTCAAAAAGGTAACCAAAGGGGTGACTGAGGCAGGCATCACAGGTGGTGTGGAATCAGCAATTGACAACACGTAAGACATGCAAAATGGTCTTACAATGCCAGTGAGCAGTTATAGAAATGTAGCCGTGTTAGTCTGGTGTAGCTGAAACAAAATACAGGACTATGTAGCACTTTAAAGACTAAGCAGTTTGTGTCTGATACAGTGGGAAAGGGGGCACCGATGGAGAGACAGACAGGGAGGATGATGTGGTGCCTAAAATGAGCCAATGAAATTATCTCTGGAGCAGCCTTTCAAATGGCTGCAAAGTGATCAAGCCCTGAGGAGGGGGAGGCTGTAATAGCTGACACATGAGATGAAGAGGGCCTGGATGCGAGTGTTAGCTGTGTGGAGAAAGATCAGATCTTCAGTATATAAACATCTACGTTGCCGCAGAGCTGAGACACCAATCGGGTCGGCACTCCATGGCCGTAGTTGCTGTCCAAGCACAGCAATGACTACAGTCTCTGTCAAAGCAATCTCCATCCCTAGAGATTTTTAAGTTTCAGCTTGACAAAGCCCTGGCTGGGTTGATTTAGCTGGGATTGGTCCTGATTTGAGCAGGGGGTTGGACTTGATGACCTCCTGAGGTCTCTTCCAGCCCCAGGATTCTATGAAAGAGTTTTAAAAAGTCAGGAATCAAACCCAAATGTTGTTTTCTGTGTATAATTTAGTGTATAATGCAAAGTGCTGTACTTAGCAAAGCTTCTTAGTGCCATCAGAAAACATCAAGTGTATCCATGTTCACAGTGTTCCCATGCCTCTGTTTGACAGCGGGGACAGATCTCTTGATTACCTGTTCTGTCCATTCCCTCTAAAGCACCTGGCAGTGGCTATTGAGCTAGAAAGACCATTGGTCTGACCCAGCATCACTATTCTTACAGCAGAGAGAAATCCTAAATATGAGAACAATACTCTAAAAGAAAGGAATTCATACCATTCACACAAACATGTGAACCGCGTAATTCTCACAGGACAAATGCATTTGTTTTTTTACTACTTGCCACTTTGGGTACATGAGTGCTCTCTCAGAAGCTGGAAAGCAAATATAACTCTTCCTAGCAGATTTGAACACTTGGGAAATTGCTGCTCCCACTATGTGTCTCATGGAATGAGCGCTGAGCAAAGAATTGTGCTCCTGCTTATTTATCTAAAGGAGCAGTGATGTCAGCACAGTTCTAGGAATAACTGCCTAATGCTAGCAAATGCTCAATACCTTGATGGGAACAGTTCCTGAATTTGTTGGCTAACAGGTGAACTGAAAGACGTGTTACTTCCAAAGAGCCAGGTCCAATATTTCACCCGTAACAGCTGATATCACTAATGCCCAGGGCTGGAAGGAACAGCATTCTTGATGCTGCTTTAGGCATTAGCAATGCTATCAACGGGGGCAGGGGTAAATTACCGAGCCATCAGTACTTAGCAAGTTAGAATAGGAAAGGAAGGGAGGATTTTTAACTGTTTTGGGCCAAGTCTGTCCATAAGTGTGGCTGTGCTTTAAGTACTTGATTCATCAATGCACTTAAAATTACACATGTGCCTAAATCCATCCCTATTCAGCAAAGCACTTAAGCACATTTGGGAGATCCTATGAATTCATTAACTTTAAGCTTGTGTGCTCCGCTGAACAGAGATGGATTTAAGCACATATGTAAGTGCTTTGCTGAATCAGGACTTAAATGTCTTGGCTAGAGTGACTGATTCAAAATAAATCAAGAAACAAAATAATCCCTTGCATTAGAAGAAATTTCCCAACATATCAGCGAAAATTTGCTCTCAGTTACAGGTGAAAATCTGGAGTAAATCTTCTGGATGAGTTTGCCATTTTGCAATAGTGTTGTGTACCAAGAAACTCTCCTGGGTTTAATTTCACTTTTTTATTATTCAACATTTTATACATAATAAATACAAACTTTTTACAGCCAATAGAAAGAAAGCATTTGCACCTCTGCTTCCAGTATATTGACACTGTACATGGTGATAGGTCGATACATGCCCTGTATGAAGAAGTCATAGTTAAAAAGGAGGCATATTTTTACAACTTTTCTTATTTTTTTAAATAAAATTAGCAGCTCTTACAGAAAATATTTTAAAATACAACTAAAGATATTTAAAATAACACTTTCTGAATTTTGAAAGTCTGGGTATGAAGGACACAGAAAAACTGGCCAAGAAAACTGAACATAACATTATGGCAATACTTGCTTTTCTTCTTCATCTTGAAACTTTTCAAATTTTTGCCAACAGTTAAATTAAAAAAAAAACAAAAACTTTTTTTTAAAACTTAAGAATAAGTTTGATAAACATAAAAAGACCTCAAACAGATCAACAGGATGAGTGATGCAAAAGAATGAAAAACATGGAAAAGAATCTTCAAAGGACAGTCATAGATTTTATGACATTTTTATCCAAACAGCTCCACTCTTAGTTAACATCCCCCTGGGAGAAAAGATTGGCAAATACTAATGTTCCAGACACCCAGCTTGGGTTGCAATTTAGAAATATGTGCAAAATTTATGATAAAATGTTGTACAATGATTTCGTAAATGCAGTCTCAAAAAAAAAAGCGCCCTTTTTAGTTAACTAACTGCAGACTTTTAATTCACTGGCTTAGGAAAAATACGAACACACAGAAATGTATTCAATATAACCCATATAATAGCTCTAAATGTTTTGTCAATGGTTTTTCACTGAAGATTTGATCTGTTGGGTTTTGCTATTTTCAGAACAGTTTAATGATCATATTTAGAGAGAAAATCTTTTTCCTTGGGATGAAGGATTCCCCTCCTCTCCTTACCCATTTTCATTGATGTTATAACACAGAATACCTCAATTTTTCTAAAATATCAACAGTCCCTTTCATAGAGAAATTAGGTGGAAAATTAGCCTTAAAGTCCATGTACTCCCTGTATCTTGCATAAAAATAATTTGAGAGCTTAATCTTCTCTAGTGCTTTCAACCCCAAAGATGGATTCTGAAGGACTGGAGTGAACTACGGATTTCCAGGTTCTCTAGTCTTGGCTAGTGAATGGGCTTTGCATGGAGAAATTCAATGGGACTACCCAAAGCAGACACTAAATAATGCATGTAAGTTTTCTGAATGGCACTTCTAACTCTAACCAGATGTTTTGATGGCAAAGATATATCGATAATGCTGGATAATAAAGAACAACAATAACTGGGATAAAAAAAGTGACCCAACTATTAAAAGAAATGTGCTAAGAAAAAAAATGAAGCTCAGTTTCCAGATCTAGACAAAATGTCACTTTTCTACAGGTTGGTTTATGCTATAGAACAAGATGTTGCTACTAATTCAGCACCTCCTTATTAGATACTCTATTACTAAATGAACTGCATAAATATTAATACCAAGAATATTTTGTTCTGATTTTTAATTATTGAAGAGCTGTGCATTAAAACAATTAACGCCATATGATCTTCAGCACTTTTCCTTATCTATAAGATTATTTGCCTTTTCTTTTTCTTCTATGAGGGGATGAAAGAGGAGCCAGCCTCTTCTTAAACCTATTCTTTTGTTCCCTTTTTTATTCCATAAAATCTGATTACTATTTAATCAGACACATAATGCTAGTTGAATTTAAAATTTTTAACACATTCCTACAGCAACAGTAATATACTGTACTAATGCACATGGTATAAGTATGCTATGACTAAGTTGCATGAATGAGGCTCTCTCCTAAACCTCCATATAAAAACTGATCATCTTTAGCCAAAAGAGAAATCTGCTCCAATGCATTCCTCTGCTTACCATTTGGCCCATCTTGGTTTGTGCTAAGGGAGGAAGGATGATGTATATAAAAACAAAAAAGGCACAAAATATTCATGACTGTGGGAAGGAATCCACTGTCACCTATAATCCTCCCCATTTCTTGTCTATGAAAAGTCTTTATCATGCAAAGGTGCCTAAAAACGAGATTGACCAAACACCACATTTGGCCTTGATTGTAGCACTACGATTTTGCCAGTCCCATCATTATACCAGAGTTATTTCCACATCCTCTATCTTCTCTGTTGCTCTGCGATGATGATGTGTAGGGGGAGGAGGAGCAGCTCGTACCTGAAATGAGTAACATACACTCGTAACTACCAGAGGACGATAATAAAGTTTTGTTACATAGACAAAGTGGGTGAGGTAATTTTTTTTTTACTAGATCAACTTCTGGGACCAGCATGGCTACACCACCACTCCCACACATTAAGTTCCATGGTTTGTACAGATTAAAACCAGAAAAGTTGGGCCAGCCCCTCAAGCTGGTATAAATAGATGCATCATAATCACACCTATTTACACCAGTGGAGAACCTGGCCCATCCAAAGAAGCCATCACTGATATCTGTTATAGAATTGTTCCAGCTGTCACTGTTTTGATACTTAAATTTTTATTATTCAAGAATGATTAACAGCCCCAATACCATAAATCTGGAATAGGGCATATTCACTCTGTAGTGCAATGCGGTGCAGAATCATTAAGTATATCTATTATGTTTAACAAACTTGTAATTCTATTGCAGGGATTTGGTGACATCATAGATCACAAGCATGGAGCTTGCATAGATTGTGATGATACTAGCTACAATAAGCAGCTTACTTAATATTTAGTTATAGAATATATACTTATAGTAAGTTAGTTACAGTATAGATTTTTGTTTAATGAACTTTTGCTTTAACAATATTTTTTAAAAAGAAAAAAATGTATCATTTACATTGATTTCATATTATATGTGAACTTTTAGACCCAAAAGATAAGTTACAAAACCATCCAGTTCTTTTAACTCCAATGACATATAACTGGGGCTGATGTCCTTTTGATTCTCGACCATATTAATAAACTTAGTAGGACTCTTCTAAGAGCATTATGGTAAACCTTAGTGCATTTTGTGAAGGATTGTCATCACATGCTCTCAGAATGGCTTAGCTATCATTATCAGTATGTAAAATAAGGACTGCAGAGAACACATAATAGCTTCACAGTGCTGGAGAAAAGTGGAAAATTATGATTGGTAGTCAGTAATATACTTCAAATTCTGATTAAACCAAGTGTATTTAAATTTTAATGCTGCTTCAAAATATTTGTTTACTAAAGCATTACTCTATAATGCGGTCACAGGCAGACTGCCAGCATCAGAGATGGTGTGGAACACAACTACAGCCCACTAGCGTGATGGGGAAAATCTACAACATGGAAGAGGAAAGACCCAATAATTTTATTAGTGGAGCAAGTTGATGTGAAGAAGGTGATCAGAGAAGATCTTTTTCTTAAATCTGAAGTGCTTCATGACACCATGCTCTTTTGATCTCCTTTGTCTCCAGTGGATAAGGGTAAACCATTGAACAGTGCAACACATTTGACTTCTACATATAGCCCACTCACTTGGAGTTATGGGTGCTTGTTACCTTTGACAAAATGGATTTAGGTACTCAATTAGAAAACGTCATACAAACTTTGTCAGGTAAACATTATTCCATGTGAAAAAAGTTATATTGCACAGAAGGGTGGATCCTGAAGACACTACGGTCTGCACCTATTACCACTATAGACATTAAACATACCAGGAAAATATGACTGTCAAAACTCATAGCTTGATTTATAACTTTTAATCCCCAAATCTCTTGATTTTAGTGTAACCCCAACAAATGGATTTTGATTTTTTCCATTAATAAATTCCCTTCTTCCTTGTTTGGCAAAATCTCTTTTTAGGTAGTGCAGACATCTCAAAACATATCAGATCTTAGTATTAGGAGTTGCTCATCAGAGGACCTGTGGGGAGTTTACAAATGAGCTTAACCCTGATGTAAAAGTGCCAGCAGGACAGAGTTCTAGCAAGTCAATTTCTCTGCCCAACATTTTTTTGGGGGGTTGGCAAGACACAATCTTTGAAAAACATTTGTACAAAATATGGAAACTAGCTGCTTCAGCACCTATTTTTTCTGTCTTAATTCTATTATTTATATTACACTCCTATACACAGAGACATGATTATTATTCACAAAGAGAGCACTAGATATGTGAAAATGGAAACAATCATCCAGAGTTTGAAGTAGCAGTGTAAAATTAAAAAACATAGGTGATAGTTTTAATTATCACAAGTCTGAAAACCTCCTCTGATTTTGGTTTTCATTATTCACATTTTACATATCTAGGAACACAGATATTGAGCATAGGGAGATATAAACACCTAGATTAGATAGAAAGTGAATTAATAAGATCCAAGGTTCTTAAACACAAACTCCTTAAATACATGTAGGCTATGTCTACACTGGCGGGTTCTTGCGCCAGAAATATGCAAATGAGGCTGTGTGGAATATTGCTGAGCCTCATTTGCATATCTAATGAGCCGCCATTTTGCGGAAGAGGGTCTTGCGCCAGAAGGAGCTGTCTACACTGTCCCTTCTTGCGCAAGAAAAACCCTCTTGCGTAATGCCGTTATTCCTGAAAATAATCAGTGTAGCGGCATTGCGCAAGAGGGTTTTTCTTGTGCAAGAAGGGGCAGTGTAGACAGCTCCTTCTGGTGCAAGAGCCTCTTCTGCAAAAATGGTGGCTCATTAGATATGCAAATGAGGCTCAGCGATATTCCACTCAGCCTCATTTGCAGATTTCTGGCGCAAGAACCCACCAGTGTAGACATAGCCCTATTGTGTAACTACGTATAGCTCTGTTTTATTATGCTGTTTACTTATCTAACTGGCTGCCATAGACAAGTTGAACCTCAGAAATCCAGCACTCTCTGGTCTGGCTACATCATGGTCCAGTAGGCCCATGGATAATGCTGGACCAGAGAGCCCAACTGGGAGCAGAGGACAGCCAGAGTCAGGAGTGAAGCTTCCTGTGCCAAGGCTGGTGGCGTGGGAAGCGCAGCCCTGAATGGGGCTGGTGGTGGCAGGGCTGGCTCAGCTAGGAGTGTAGCCCTGGCTGGGGCTGGAAGCAGTGGGGCTAGTATGGCAGGGCTGGGGCTGGTGGTAGCGGGGCTTGTGGAGCCCAGTGACTGCAACTAGCACCCCAGAGTGAGACTGGCAGCCAGGAGGGGAACCTTAACCTCCCCCAGTCTGGCAAACTCCCTGGGTTCAGGACTGCTCAGGTCCAACCTGTACATTGTAAAAAAAACCAGAGGAATCCTGTGGCACCTTAAAAACTAACACATTTATTTGGGAATAAGCTTCATGCATCTGAGGAAGTGAGCTCCAGCCCATGAGAGCATAAGCACAAATAAATCTGTTCGGGTATGTCTACACTACAGCACTATTTCAAAATAAACTAATTCGAAATAACGCATCTATACACAAAAACTATTTTGAAATAGCGTTTTGCTATTTCAGAATAGTGTGCCCACACTAAGTGGACCCTGAACCGAAGTTAAGGCTGGCCGGAACCAGTGCCAGCAGAGCATCAGGTTAGGATTTGAGTGTGTGGGGCTGCTGCTTGAGGCTAACTGAGCTCCGTGCTTAAACAGACCCTACACCTCCACCCCAGACAGATAGTTCTCAGGGTTCCCCGCTTGCTTGTCTACCCCATGAGGGACAGAAAAGCAGTCCTGTCTCAGAGTGCCTTGAGTGCCCACACTCAGGATACCACAGCACTCTGCCACATGGAGCCAAAGCTGCCCCTGGGCATGCCAGTGCGTCTTGTGGAGTCGTTGCTATCAGTCCGGCTGCACTACTTGCTGCAGGCTGCCATCCGGGGGGTCCTTTGGGGGGCTGTCAGGATCCAGGAGGCCCTGCAGGACAGCGTCCACCACTCAGAGCCTCCCTGGTCCTCCCCACCGGGGGCTCGTGCCCCATTCCTCCCTCGTCTTTCCACTTACACACCCCAACCCCCCTTCCTAATGTCAAATAAAAGACACGTATGTTCAAAAGTAGAAACTGGGTTTATTGAACAAAACTGGTGGGGGAGGGGAGAGAGCCTCTGGGGAGACTGGGAAAAGGAGGAGGGAGAGGGGAAGAGAGAGGGTGGAAGAGGGGAGGGGGAAACCTGGGAGGAGGGAGCTGGAAGGGGGAAGCAAGGGGAAGAAGGGGGAGGGGAAGCTCAGGAATCAGGGTTGGGGGGTCTCGCCGGACCAACCTAACTTTCATGCTAACCTGCTCCTGGATTCGCATGTGGCCTTTGGTGGCCAGGCTGGCAGCTATACTGCCATAGATGGCCGCATTCCTCTGTCTAGTGCGGAGATTATGGACGTTGGGGACATCCCCCCCCAAACCTGAATAAGGTCCATGATTTCTACCCTGGACCAGGAAGGCACCCGCCTTCTTCAGACCCTGTCAGGCTCCTGCGAGCTGGCAGACTGCTCCTGGGGAATGGTGGAGGGCAGGCTGCCAGTGGCTTGCTGGCACATGTTTTGGGGCCACTGGGTCAGGGGCCCCGGTGGCCACTGCTGGCTCTGGGTTGGCAGGCTTGGAGCTGGCACAGGTACTGTGGCCAGCGTCTACCCCTTTAATGTCTCCGGGGCCAGGGGAGAGGAGAGTATGTTTTCCTGGTTGTGCCCAGAGTGGCCACCAGGGCTCACTGGGAAGGGCTGGAGGCTCCCTATTTCGAATTAAGTGTCTACACAGCACTTAATTCGAAATAGCTATTTCGAATTTGGTGTTACTCCTCGTACAATGAGGTTTACCAAATTCAAAATAAGGGCTCCACTATTTCAAATGTATTTTGAAATAGTGGTTTGCCTGTGTAGACACTATTAAAGTTAATTCGAAATAACTGCTGTTATATCGAATTAACTTTGTAGTGTAGACCTACCCCATGTCTTTAAGATGACACAGGACTCCTCAGTTTTTGGCTACCTCTCTGAAACATATACATCATGTTGCTTTTTGACACATCTGTGTTCCACTCCACAACCCGCAAACAAGCCTTTCCCTGGATATTTTTCTGGGGACAATACGTTTGTATATTTATTAATTGGACAGAAAAGATTTAAAATAGTACATGAAGAGCATGGTGATCCAGAAACTGGCATATCAACATAATTCCACTGGCTTGAATCATAGAATACTAGGACTGGAAAGGACCTTGAGAGCTCTGCTGATCTGTATCAGCTGAGGATCCAGCCTGGTTTATATAATGTTACCAAATCACTAAACTTGGCAATATTGGAAGCTTACAGGTCGCAGTTTGCCATATGAGGTTTCAGGAGCAAGTCGTGGAGGCTGTGAGAATCCAGGAGAATCGGAGCCGAAACTATTTTCTGAAAGAGTGAACAATAAAAACCAAAACATTGTGCGTGTTAGTGAGCCAGCTGAACATTGTGAAAAGAGCATGTTTCTAGTGCAAGCTGAAATTTTAATTAAAGCAAACATTTGGATGTTTCTCGTACTAGCAAAAAAATTTCTTACCATTAGTTGATGGTGACCTAGGGAAGGACTGGGAGCCTCTTTTATCAGGACTATGGTAGGGACTAATCGGTGGCTGGTCATACAGTGGCAACAGTGGAAGAGAATTATGAGGTTTTGGAGATATCTGTGTAACAGAGGAAAAGAGATGCTGACATTCATTCTTCAGCAAGATATATACTTGCTAACTGATCAACTGATCTCAACTGTTTTCATCTAGTGATGAAATGCATCTGTCAGATAAAAGTGCATATCAGCTGTACTTGGGGAAGAGAGACAAGATCTATTATAGTGATTTAAAAAAAAATCACAGGTGGCCATTCAGAGCAGATTTTTCTTCATTTCCCTAGCAGTGGTAATCTGAACAGATCCTGTTTGTAGGCTGTTTTAAAACATATCAGTTCACTGAGCAAACCTTGCCAAAGATACCTCCACAAAATAATGTTAAGATAGTGAGTTTTATCACTGCCTAACAGTATGTAAGGCATTTAAATGCAGAGGGTAACAAAAACCAGGAACAACGAAACTCATGCACTTTATTGGAATAAAATGACAGTAAGAAGTAGAAATGAGTTTTCTATGTTTGTGATACTTTACGACAGTGGACACATTGCAGAGAACAAAGGGTGTGTCTAGACTACATCCCTCTTTCAACAGAGGGATGTAAATTAAGCACTTCGAAATTGCAAATTAAGCTGGGATTTGAATTTCCCGGGAAGGCTTTTTTGAAAGATCATGTAAACCTCATTTTTTGAGGTTTACAGGATCTTTAGAAAAAGGCTTCTATTTTCGAAAGAACCACATCTAGACAGCGGTTTACTTTTGAAATAGAGCTTTTTCGAAAGCGCGCCATTACGTGATTATGCAAATGATACACAGGAAATTCAAATCCCAGCTTAATTTGCAATTTCCAAGTGCCTAATTTACAACCCTCTGTCGAAAGAGGAATGTAGTCTAGACGTACTCAAACAGACAGTCATGCATGTGCCCATCACTGCCGATAAGCTACTAGCAGCAGGAGTGTTTTGAGAAGAGAATGGCAGAAGGGGAAGAGAGGGGATGGGGACCAAGCCTAAGGAGTGGTACAAAGGAAAGCATTATCATTATCCATTTTTTTCTAGAAAACATTAGCATTGTCTTTTTAATTATCAGTACAGGCTAGAAAAAAATTGCTTGTATAAAAAACTGCAACTCCTACTATACTATAACACAACAGTATTTTGACATTTTTATATCTGATTCCGCAAAGCTCTTGGCATGACTCAGTCGGGGAAAGGAGCTGTACAGTAACACAGCTATACATATCTGACTAAGAGCATCCCTATGCCTGAAGGCAAGGATGTCTCAGGAAACTAGCAGTGATTGCAGGCTGGGTTGACCAACATATCCCAATTCACCATTGTTAGAATAGGTATTTAAAAGGTGTTATGTAATCTGTTACTGAAAAAAGCTTATTGTACAAGAAAACTGCAGTCTAGATGTAGCCTGAGAGCTGGGATTAGTAGCTGTAAACAAACTTTATGGAACTTTGTGGAAACTTGGTAACTGAGATATGTGAACATCCGGCTAATGAAAATCATGCCCGACCATGAATGTTGTGGGACCAGAGTGTGCCGGACTAGAGAGGTTCAACTTGTATTTTTGCATTATATATGTCTAGCCAACCAAGAGAGGGTTATACAGGTGTGCTGGGACTATGACTAAAATGTGTCTAAACCAGGATTGTCTAAGAGGAGTTGACAAACAGCCCACAGCCCGCTCGTACAGGCCGGAGTTCGAGATCCGAGCTCCATTACAGCAGGCCCTGGCCTTTCCCTGCTGAGCTGCATTGGGCTTGGGAGGTTGCAGGCTGGGAGCTGGCTCAGCTGGAAACGGAGTAGGAAGGGGAAGCTGGTCCCTCATGCATGCCACAGCTGGGCAGCCAGCAGTTTGCAGGTTGGGAACCACTGACCTATGTAATGGAGCAGGGTGTGGCCAAAGACAAAGAAAAGCACATTTTTAGTAGGCCAGGGAAACAAAGCTGTCACAAGAGGAAGTGGGGAAAAGTGATCACCTAATCTCAGCAGGCAAAGGAGATGGCATACCCTGGAAGCTTTCATGCCTCTTGAAGCAGGGCCAATGAATTCAGAGAGATATTTTTCAAAGGTTTTCTGAACTAAAGAGAGGGGCAGAGAACCCATTAAGTTATCCTAGATTTGAGGAGACAAGGAAAACCACAGTCTTGGACTCTGTGGGGCTCCTGACTAAGAGCTAATCAGCCATTGTTGGAAAAATAAGATTGGCGAGGAAACTACTTTGAACAAAGACTGTAGAGCTTGTTAAGATAGATCCTTGCCATTAGAAAACATATTTTCATTTTTTTCATAACCATTTCTATCTGTTGTACTTGAACTTATTTAAAACCTCTCTCTCTCTCTCTCTCTCTCTCATTTTTTAATCTAAACAAACCCTGGGTGTTGTGATTGAACTGAAGTCATTTTTAACCCCAGTCAAAATAAACTGCTGTTTCTGTTCCATTGAGTTGGCAGCTCCTTTAAAATGTTCTGTCAAACCACACTTGCAGGAGCTGTGTTTTGCAGAGATGCATCTCAGAGGAACTCAAACGCGAGAGTTCACTGTTACTTACTAGGCAAGGTTTGGGCTGGGAGAGCCCCAAGGAGTTTGCTGGCAAGGTAGGCAAGCTGGTGTGTTGGGCCCTGCTGTCACACTATGCAGCTGCAGCAAATCTCACACTTGCTGAGGCTGAGAGGGATAGTACATGCTCTAGGCTCAGGGATCCCCCAGTAGCTGAGAGATAATTTGTGATGATGTTCTTCTCAAAGAGAAATAATAAAAAGCACCAGATAAATTATCCTCTGGTGAAGACACTGAATTCTGATTTCTAGCAACACTGTTTTCATAAATAAGAAATAAGAAAGTGTTTAATTCTTGATTATGATATGATAAACTGGTTAAACACAGTATCGTTAGCATATAATTTTAGATCACAATATTGCACTAAACTGTGGATGTACTTGTTAAAATCCCATAGCTAAATGTTCTGCCCTCTAAGACATTATGAAAATATTGCACAGCATTAGATGTGAAAGACTTTACAACCGTCAGAGCCAATAATACGATTTTTGCCAGGGTCTGTTTAATCTCTTGATTCCATAAATTAATTACAGAAAGGAGATTGAGACTTTCCTCTGATTCATTTCCTTTCTCCTCTAACCATTCCTTTATTCTGTACACAAATCTCTTGTGATTGCCACAGTTCATCATTTGATTAATATTATATTGGATCACATAATAAAGGAAAGCAGTCACTATTTTTTTTTAAGGGAATGGGTAGGAAGGTCTCTGCAGCAGTGAACATCTACCTTTTTCCTTCCTTTGAAGTCCATGTCCTTATAATAGCTGCCATTGTCAACAAAAAAGCCATTCCAGGAACCAAAGCTCATTAATTGGAGAGAAGAGGCAACTATACAGAAATGCTTAGGTGTCCTGTATAACAATGCCGAATGCCAGCAAACCAATATGTATCCAGGCCCATATTTAATTTTTCACATACCTGAATGTCTCCACTCCATTGAATCTCTCCATTTTCTGAGGCTGTAAGTTCTTCCACTAACACGGATGGGAAAACCCCAACATGACCATTGAACTCCCCCTCCCAGAAGCCATCATCGTCCTGGTTCTCCTTGTTCAATATACGGATGATTGCTCCTTCCGGGAAGGACAGCTCATCATCTGTCTGGCTCTCATAATCATAAAGTGCTTTTACAAAACAGACTAGATTGGGAGAGGAAAGAAATTATAATCAGAATGAGAAACAGCTTTTTAAAATGCACCATCTCCATCTTTGCTAAACTGAAAATGACTTTACTTTTATGCTAGTGTGACTAATGTTGACAATCACAGGCTTATCAGACATATCTAGACACATTGGGTAGAGTCTAGACAGGGAGATGGGTACTAATGCAAATGGTTTCCCTTAGGTAAGGAGATACCTGTCCTAACATAGGCAATCCACAGGCATCCCAGTCATCTGGGGCAATAGAATGTTTTCAAGAACAACACTGACAGGCTTGTTTTATTTATTACTATTTACCGCTGGATTCTCCATTTAGGCTTCCTGAAACAAGCTCAGCTTCCGCTGAATTATTTGAGGTATGTGACCGACTATCCAATGCTGCAAGTGACTGCAGCATACTCAACAGACTGTTGGATGTTGGGAACTGTAGATACTTCTCTGGCACATAACCCACTTGGCCGGCTTTATTTCGTGCCTGTAAGTAAACCATATGAAAATGCAGTAAATTTCAGCATACTGCTGTAAAAGACACAAAAATAAGGCTCAAACAGTAAAATAAGCAAGAAAAATTATACCTTTACCCAGTCTTCCATGTCTCCATCTTCAATCACTTCCAATACCTCATGTTCCTCAATGGTCAGTTCATCTGGCTGAGAAGCCTGGAATGTAAGCATATCACATACAAAATGAAGACTGATATATGGCAGATATGTGCCTGTTCACAGAAACCAGAAACAAAATTGCCATCTTTACACTAACTTAAAAATATAGTTTTGATAGAGACATCTATAAGTTGTGTGTCCTGAATTCTTTTAAATATCCTTTAAAAACATGTTAAGGGTTTTTCTTCTCTTTTTCAGTCAAGGAGACCAAGAAGTTCTAAGAACACTACCATCTACTGTGCTCATGCCTATTTAATTCTCTTTAAACTTTCAGTGATTCATTGATACAAAATCCACTGTACGAAAGTCTGTATACATATGCCCAACATTAAGTATGTGCGTAGGCTCAATGAAGTTAATGGAACTACTCACACATGTAAAGTTAGGTATGTGTTTAAGTACCTTACTGAGCTAAAGCCTAGATGTGGTTTAAAACTTTATTAAGCTTGCTAAAAAATGTTTCACAGATTTTACAGTAACAGATTTAACGAATTACTATAACTTTACACATTTAATATGGACTAAATCTTAGTGTCCTTCCTTGGGCAAACTCTCACAGACATCATATATTTTTGTGATAACTCATCTACTGATAAGAGATTTTGAAAAAATACAAACCTTATATGAATAAACAACTTTGCAGGTTAGTGGATAATTTCTTAGAGTTCCAGAAGGACTAGAACTACTGTCATCAAACACATCCATGCTGTCTTCAAATTCTTCCCCTTCTTCCCTTTCTGCATCAGGATTAAGCTATAAAGAAAATTTAATTTGTAGTTGGATTATAAAAAGTAAATGAAAAAACAACAAGAGTAAATTAGATTATTTAGTAACTCCAGCCCTTGAAATTCTAGATTCCAAATCTGCTGGTGACTGAGCAGTGTTACAACTTAAGATTCTATCTTGGAAAAACACCAAAGAAGAAATGCCATCACTAAAAATCAATATACTCGTTCTCTGAATGACTTCAGAAAAGTAGTCATACATTTGAGCAAATATCTGGAAGCAAAGAATACAAGTTATCAATTAACATTTATGTCTTGACTCATCAATATCACCTAACTGAAAAGCAGTCAACTGCGTTTTAAATGTACACTAAACCTTCAATTGTCAGAATACTGCTAATAAGGTAGGTCTCAAAAGTTTGGAAAAGAGGAGGTTTTAAGGTAGTGACAAATCCAAAATACAGCATCCATTCTTCAGATTACCATATAAAGTTTTAATGGAGACAGAATAATATACTGGACAACCACATTACTAAAAGTATGATGAACATATGTCTGTTAAGATACAACGTGAAACTGCCCTAACAGTGAAGTGCTAAAACTTAAACACTCCCCCGCAGCTTGTCAGAAATACACTTGAAGGAAAAGTAATCACTTCAATTTTTCAGTATAGTTTATAGGAAAAAAGATCCTTAGGGGGAGAATAATAATTAAGAAGTATTTATGAAAAAGCTAAATAAAGAGAGAAGTGGGATAGTCTGGAAAAAATGCAAGTTTCTATGAACATTGTTTGAGCAGTGATGACATCCACTGAACTTTGGTTTTGTGCCTAGATTAAACACTGGATAAACAATTCTACCTCATGAAAAAAAAAAACACACCATCCTTCAAAACCAAGTACAACAGATTTTACAATTCTTAACTTTTTATTGTATTCTTGTTTAATTTTGCAAATGTTGCACAGCTTATGAAAGCAAAAGGCAGGCCACTCAAAGAGCCAGGTGTAGGGCAGACAGGTACTGTGAAGACTTCCTCAATCAGTTCTGCCAAAACACTTCAGGTAACACGTTACACCCTTGTTATTTTAGTCTTGGTCATCGCCTGACGAGAATGACAGATGATGAGGTGACTTTGCGACACAAGCTGATGTTTATGGCTTTGCCGCAGAGCAAACAACTCATTTTCTCATTTTAGCTTAGCTATATTTGAAGCTAGGTGTGGCCAGACAGACTATAACCCCATATCATCCATCTTATTTGCCTCTCTGAAGCACAGGGCAGAGAAGGAGCAATAATATCAGCATAGTCTATGCTGGCTCATCTGATCCTGAGAAGCTGAAACACAGATATGTGGATAGAGAGCAGCTAAGTCAATAAGCTGGCCTCGAGGCTGCGGCTGGCACCTATGTTGATTCAAACACACAGTCCCAGGAAGAGGAATTTCCCACTGAGAAAACAATGTCCAGTACTTCAAAATTTAATCATCTCAAATCTCTCTTACAAGTGTAAATTAAGTTCACAACTCCCTTGTAAGAACTGGTCTCACAGCAGACAGACCAGCATCAATTGGCATGACAGATAAGAAAGAGAAATACGTGACCCCATGATTATAAAAGATGGGCCCAGCACACACTCACTTTGAGTGTCATTCTACCCTCTACCTGCTGGTCGGGTTAGGTGTTTGACCTCCCGAGGTTCTATGGGGACGCCCACCTCGTATTTTCGTCTTTCCTAGGAATTGAGGGACCGGCCCTGGCCTGACATGCTGGAGTCGAGAGGCACAGAAGGGGGTAAAAATGGTACCTGGATGTGGTCCTCTGTCTTAAGTGTACACATAGAAAGAGTAAGCTGTTACTTGGTACCATTATTTCTATTTTTCTATCTTTATCTTCTTTGTAACCATTTTTAAGACCTATATTTTGCTAATAGTTAAGAAATAGAGCAATAGCCATTGTAACCATATGATTTATAAGCTTCTTTAATAAACCTGTAACTGTTTAAGCTTTAACCTGACTCCTTCAGTTGCTGTAACAGAACCAAGCACAATTTAAAAGAACTTCAGCCGGTCTAAAGGGACAGTTATAGGAAGAGCTTGGGCGTTTGGATCTGTGTCACTCCCAGGTGACAGGACCCACTGGGGCATCTTTCAGTCTTTCCTCAAGGCTGCCCGCTGCGAAGGAATTATGAAATTCTAGCAGCTGAAATCTAAGATGTAATAAGCTCTTCCTATATAACGGGGCGTCTGTTGGCCTGCTGGCCACCCTCTGCGATGGGACCCCGGTCCTAGCAGTAAAGGCACGGACGTTAAACCTTTTCTCGGAAACACACACACACACACTGCCCTGCACTAGAATAAAAGGTAAGTACACTAAATCCACCATACCAATTATTGTGATTGGATTATAGCTTTGTAATTCATATGAATTTAGACTAGTCCAGTTCACTGAAGTCCAGTTTGTATCCATTTCTGATTGAATGTTAACAGACTACAGTAACAAACAGTATTTCATATTCTATCTAGGTAACACTTTGGCTTTTTAAATTTGACACTTTGTAGATTAAGGTAAATTCAAGATGTTCATAGTTCCTACAAATGTTGCTTACTAAGTCTTGGCTCCCTCAAAGCAGTCACTGCTGACCCTGCAGCTGAGACCCATAAGAAACTACAGATTAAACCTCTCTTAAGCAGGACTCTCTGGTCTGGAGCCCTGCAGCACGGCTGGAGCGCAGTAGCAGGACTGCCCTGTGGCAGTGAAACTGGGAGCCCAACAGCAGGGCTGTCTCCTGGTGGCAGCACTGGGTGGGGGTCGGGAGGCAGCAGGGCTGCCAGTAGGGCTGGAGCCAGCAGCGGGGCTGCTGCCTGGCAGCAAAACTGCCCAAAAAGAGGCAGTGGGGTTGCCCGGTGGTGGGGGCAGGAACCCAGCAGCAGGGTTGCCCCATAGCACAACCAGGAACCCAGCAGCCCCACTGATGCCCAGTGGTGCGGTGAGTCTAGGAGGCAGTGGGGCTGGGAGCCTGACTAAGGGGCTGCCCCATGGGGCCAGGAACCCAGGAGTGGGGATGCCTGGCAGTGCAGCAAAGAGCGCGCTGCTGCTCGGCAGAGCTGCCTGATGAAGCTGGGAGGCAGTGGGGCTGCCCAGTGAGGCTGAAGCTGAAGCAGGGTTGCCACCCAGCGGTGCAGCTGGAACCCAGCAAGGGGGCTGCCCCGTGGGGCCAGGAGCCCAGTACTGGGGCTGTGCTTGCAGCAGTGGAGCTACCACAGTAGGGCCAGGAGCCCTTCACTGAGGAGTAGGCAACAGGGGGGAGCCAGGAGGGGAGGCTTGCTGCAAGGCCATGGCTACGGGGGAAGAGGGGGGAAGAGAGGGAACGAGGCAGCAGCAATGACCTTCCCTGGTCTGGCAAAATCCCTCATCTGGGACCGGTCAGGTCCCGAGGGTGCCAGACCAGGGAGATCCAACCTGTAGCATATTATGTTTTGAAGAATTTGTTCATAAAACAAGTCCTGGTTTTCCAATATAAAGAAGATGATGTAAAGAAGATAAATACATTTTAATGCTGATAGCACAGCTATTTAAAAATTCCTTAAATAGAATAGATTTGCAAAGTAGAGAACACAAAGAGGAGAAAACAACAGTCGGATACAGAAGAACTAGCTGTTTGCTTTATATAGCTTTTCTTTCTACACAAAATCTGCTAATGAATGACAATGCATCAACAGCAGGAACCCCCAAAGTGCACAAAATGAACCCAACACAAGAATAAAATCAGATAAAGTAATAGGACATCATAATTTAATTATCTTGTCCCTTAACTATATACAGTGTACACATATATCTGGGTAGATTTAGTGCTGGTGACTAAATTACTAACAAAAAGTTCTTTATCCTCAGAACAGCCGGAGCTCCATCAATAGCAGAAAAAGCTTCCACATCACTGAACCACAACTCTGACTTGGATGAACAACTTCTAGGAGTGAGTGGAGTTTAGATTTCATACTCATTCACTCCTTTGACATCTCTGCTGACACTGCAAAGGTGTCTGTCAGTGGCAATTGTAACACGGACAGCTCTGGCTTGAAATCATGGCTCATTTTACACAGACTGCTGAAAAACTATCAGATAACATGGTCTGAATTTGAACTTGAAAGATAAAAGACACTAGCCCATCACAATCATCCAAGCAATCAGTTCCATGTTCATAGCTAATCAGCAACCTGGAAAGGGCACTCACGCTTGTTGGTTTTTTTTTTTTTTAAACTCTGCATTAGTTTTGATTATTATCCAGCTCAGTGGAGTTGAGAGTCACAACTGACTACTAAAACTGGGCATCATTCTCTTCCTCTTTCATAGGATAAACAGACACCCAGCTACACTGATACAGAACAGTAGTACCAAACAGGAGTACCAGGTGGCATTAAATCACAAAATTACGACTAAAGCTTTTGCTGGCATCTAAGTGGAATAAATAATTTATCATTCTGTCCTCAAACTATGCATGTCTTCATTACACAATAAAGGCAGCCAGTTGGCTACGTAAGGCGACGTTAATTCCTTAAGCTTTTTACACTATCACATCTATTTACCAGTTTGAATAAATACTAAGATATCAAGCTTGTTTCAGCTATGCTGTTTTCTTATTTATAACTCATTAAAAGACAATTCGTTGAGAGCTCTGATGAACAAATGATCTCATAACAAAACCAGGCACAAAGAACACAAATTCTGCTCAGCTAAGCACGACAAAGCACAGGTAGAAGGTTGAGCCCTTATTACATACTGCCTTCTCTGAGGGAGTGAAGTGAAAGTGCATCTAGTCTGAAAAGAAGAGCAGTAAATGTTTATAATTGTAAGCAAAGTAATGTCTGTAACAGCTTTAGGAAATGCCAGCTATGGGCTGTCCTCATTTGGCCTGCCAAGGTCAATATAATCCTTTATACACAAGGGAATGTGTATGTGTAAAAGGGGAAAATGGAAATTAAATTTTATCCTCCCACGCTCTAACATCTGCCAGCTTGTGAGGGACTGGCACCAGCTTTAGATATGGAGCCAAATGTTTGTGCATCTGATTGGATAAAGGAAAGGCACTGAGAAGAATCCAGTTTCTTCAACAGGAAGCAGAAGGAGACGGGGTAGAAGGAGAAGGGAAAAATACAATTAAACATAGTAATGTAGCCATTCTAATCTATTATAGCTTGAAAGGGCCTAAACCAAAACCCAGATGAGAAATCTCCTGTACTTTTGGAAGTCTGAAACCTGGCACTGAGTTATGTGAGACTTGAGCTTCTAACCGTAACATCATCTATGGGACTCCCTGCCCCAGAGACAGAGTTAGAATCATAGAACTGGAATGCACCTTGTGTGGTTACCGAGTCCAGTCCCCTGCACTCGTAGCAGGAATAAGCAGCACCTAGGCCATCTCTGACAGCTGTTGGTCTAATCTGCTCTTAAAAATCTCCAATGAGGGAGATTCCGCAGTTTTTCAAAGGGACATTGTTAACAGCCCAAAAGGAAGCTATTCTGCTGCCGGAAAGATAGAAAATATGGCAAAAGACCGCTTTGGCTTAACCATGAGATCTTGCATGATCTAAAAGTAAAAAAGGAGTCCTATAAAAAATGGAAAGTAGGACAAATTACAAAGGATGAATATAGGCAAACAACACAGGAATGCAGGTGCAAGATTAGAAAGGCAAAGGCACAAAATGAGCTCAAACTAGCTACAGGAATAAAGGGAAAAAAGAAGACTTTTTATAAATACCTGAGGGTACGTCTAGACTACATGCCTCTGTCGCCAGAGGCCTGTAGATTAGGCTACCCGACACAGTAAAATGAAGCGGCGATTTAAATAATCGCTGCTTCATTTAAATTTACATGGCTGCCGCGTTGAGCCGACGAACAGCTGATCAGCTGTTTGTTGGCTCAGCGCGATAGTCTGGACGCTCCCCAAACAGCTGATCAGCTGATCCCTGATCAGCTGTTTGTCGGCTCAGCGTGATAGTCTGGACGTGCGGGTGGTGACATCAAAGGTATTTATCGACCACCCAGGTAAACCTCATCCCAGGAGGTTTACCTGGGTGGTCGACAAATACCTTTGATGTCGACACCCGCGCGTCCAGACTATCGCTTGTGATACCCAGAACTGGACACAGAACTCCAGCTGAAGGCCTACCCAGCACAGATTAGAATGAAAGAATTACTTCTCATGTCTTGCTTACAACACTCCTGTTAATACATCCAAGAATGCTTTTTTTTTTTTTGCAATAGGTGTCATAGTGTTGACTTATATTTAGCTTGTGATCCATTCTGACATCTAGATCTCTTTCTTCAGTTTTAGACAGTCATTTCCCATTTTGTTTGTGTGCAACTGATTGTTCCTTCTTAAGTGGAGTACTTTGCATTTGTCCTTGTTGAATTTCATCCTATTGACCTCAGACCTTTTCTCTAGTTTGTCCAGCTCATTCGGAATTATAACCCTATCCTCCAAAGCACTTGCAACCCCTCCCAAGTTAGTATTCATTCAGAAACTTTGTGTGTACTTTGTATGCCATTATGTAAATTGTTGAAGATTATGAACAGAACCAGTCTCAAAACGGATTCTTGCAGAACCCCACTTGCGCTCTTTCAGCATGACTGTGAACCACTGATAACTACTCTGGGAATAGTTAACGGTTATCAAAGCTGTGAGAAAAGGATTGTAAATAGATTGTAATATAAATGTTAATAAAGTTTGGTGTGTAAGTTCAATATTCTCTAGGAGGCAAAGCACAATGCAGAGAAAGTGAATTCAGGATCCTTTCACTAGGTATCTGCTTCTTGTGAAGAAAGTAGATGGAAATTCAGAATTTGTCTGCATCCACCAAGAGACTAATTGATGATGATTTGCCACTAGAATACTTGACCTGTGACAAGAAAATAGTAAAGATACAAAAGAGCCAAGAAAAGGTAGTATGAAGATGGCTGTGTGTAAATACTGCATTGTGGTTGAGCAGATCCTTCTGTGTCTTGTGGGCAGCCTGGGAAGGAAAGCCCATTATCAAAGGCATGAGGCCATCCCTTACAAAAGGCTCTTCCCATCACACTCCCACTGTACTCCACAGAGGCCAGTAGAAACAAAGTGCAAGTAGTTGTCAAAAGCTTTAATGTGAAGTTTGAATGAAACCATAAATTGCAATGGCACCTGCCCACTGTAATTAAAAATGCACCTCCTCCAAATTGCAACTAAGTTTGTAAAAGCCTTTGATTGCTACATGTTTTGTCATATGCTAAGTAGATACGTATGCTCTAACATTGTGTATGAGGCAAACTGACTAAACTTTTAGGAATTGTATTTTTGCTTGCTACCAATGAAGAGCAATAGACTGGATAGTTCTACTGCCAAGTGTTATAGCTCAGCATTGCCTGTCATGTAAGAAAAATAAGATTACATGCTTTTTTTTTTTTTAAGCTTTTTCTGTTTTTTAAAATTGGATTTCTTAGTTTAGGCAATTGTTTCTCAGTGTTTATTTTGAAGCACATTATTCTTTGAGCAGGGTGAAGGGGAAAAGAAAATTATTAACTTTTCCTGCTTCATGAATTAGATTAAAAAATTAATCTCCTCCAAAGTTGAACATTCAAGTGTGGAAGCCTTTTATGGCCTACTTTGCCTACTCTGTAAGCAACTTTAGACAACACAAAAATGGAATATTTGATGTATATTCTCTCTCTCTCTTGCTATTAAAAAAAACAAACAACTTTTCCTGCAGGACAAGAGTGTGACCTCATCCCGTCACACTTGCATCCCACCTGCTGCCTTCTTCCCTCCCACCTCCCCTTTCCCCAGTGCACAGCTGCTATGCTGCGGCCTTCCTCCTCCCTCCTCTAGTGCTCAGCAGGTGGGGGGAGAGCATGGGGCCTAGCAAGGCCTTAGAGTAAGGGCTGCCAGGTGTCCGGTTTTGAACCGGACAGTCCAGTATTTGAGCTTTCTGTTCGGGAAACAAATTGAGAAAATATAAATGAGGAAATATAAATGCCCAGTGTTTTCTAAGTAAGATGTAATATAGATTCTGATGTAATGTGTCTGGTATTTTTGTTGAAACCATCTGGCAACCCTACTTAGAATGCCTTCCATCCCCTCCCCCGGATGCTGGGGGGGAGAGCCGAGGCTGGCGCGGCAAGTGGGGAAGGGAGTAGAGGCAGAGCTGGCTGGTGGGAGAGAGCTGGGGCTGCCTGGAGGAGCTCCCCCCAGAGTGGCTCGGGGGGGAAGAGCCAGGCCTGGAAAGTAGGGTTGCCAGGTGTCTGGTATTCACCCGGACAGTCCGGTATTTTCACCTCCTGTCCGGTAAAAAAATTCAGAGAATACCGGACACCTAAAATGTCCGGTATTCTCTGAATTTTTCCCTGGCCAGGAGGTGAAAATACCAGGCACCTGGCAACCTTACCACACTCAGCAACCCCCCTGCCTGACCCAGCCTCCGAGCCACTCACGGACCCCCTCTTCAGCCCCCTCGAGTCCTCCCTCCTCCCCACTTACCTGGTTCCGCAGGGGCTCTTTTCCCACACAGAGTAAGAAAAGAAGATGGTCACCGGCCAAAAAAAAAAAAACCCAAAGGCCTTTTTTGTAATTTTTTTTTTTTTTTTTTTTTTTTTTTTTTTTTGATCCCTTTTTTTTGGCTCAACATTTTTGGTCTCCCTCCCTCCTTTTTTTCCTCAACAGTGTTTTTTTTTTAGGGGGGAGGGTTCGGTATTTTTGGTTAAACCATCTGGCAATCCTATATATAGTAAGATCTGGATCTGAATTTAACTGCAAATATGGATTGAAATTTGGTAGGCTCTGTTATGCAGTAGATCAAACTAAATGATCATAGCACTCATTTCTGGCCTTAGGTCTATGTATTCATATCTCAAATCCATCTTTATAATGATCCAAATCAAAATTCCCAACTCAAATATTGCACTCCCCACAATTGGAATAGTGGTTGGGAATCTGACGCTAGAGCACACCTTTATAGAGGGTTCCTGTCTATATTGGACCAAACCACAACTGGGGATCCAAATGTCCTTGAGTTGTCTCTAAAGAAAGCGCCTCTTGGGTGAGGAGGGGGAGGGGAAGGGGAAAGCTGGGGCCAGAGTGGCCTTGGACCCTCCCTGGTGGCAGGTGGGACGAGTCAGGGCTGGGATAGCCCTGGCTCCTCCTGTGGGAGAGCGGGGGAGAGGAAGAGCCAGGGCAGCCTTGGACCCTTCCCAGCAGCCAGGGGGGTGGGGAAGAGCCAGGGCTGAGTGAGCCGTGGCCTTGGGCCCTCCCTGGCCAAGGGGGGCGGGGGAGGGTTTGGCGAGCATAGCAAGCAGGGGGCACAGCCCCCTTGTATCTTATATAAACCTATTCTTGCATTTTTGGATTGGCCTGATTTAATTGCTTTGTAGCTAAACTACTGATACAGTAAAATTTTCAAAAGTATCTAATGACTTTGGAACCTAACCAGTGCAGCACATAGGAGTTTAAGTCTCAGTGAAAGTCAGTGGAATTAATGAGATTAAGTGCTCCAGTCACTTGTAAAAACAGGATTTAGGTTCTTAAATCATCTAGGTGTTTTCTAAATTTTACCAATACTCCCTTTCATCCAATTATCCCAAAGAGTATCATTTACCATTTATTAAGCTTAAAGACCCATGTGAGATAGGTATAAAACACCCAACAGGTAAATCAAGATGCATAAAAGTTACATTGAAGATTTCTAGTGTTAGCTATCAAACATCTATACCTCCTAAAATTACGCTCTTTCTGTTTTTCCCTGCATTAATGTACGTTAGACAAGGTTGGAAGGAAAACAAAAGATCAAGGTTATAAAATGGTGATAGTACCAGATGTGACGAGCCATTATTGGTCACCACAGGAAGGCTTGCCCAACGTTCATTTTCCAGTTCTTCCATCACTTGATTCATTGCACTCTTCAGCCACATATCAACAGACACCCCTATCTGCTTTAGAAGATCAAGACGAGCCTCTGCTTTGAGTTTAATTATCTGAAAAGAAACATTGAAAATATTCTCTGAATTCTTTTACACATAGATTTAATTTCTTCTTGCAATTAAAATACACCCTTTTTCTAATCTACAAATTAGACAATATAGAAAGCTTAGAAATTAGTTCCACTTTGGAAACATGTTCAGAAATGTAAAATAGCAACTTACCTTATTTGGTGGAATATGGATTTTCAACATCATGTCCACTCACTTATACAAACCTGCTATTCGTATATTTTATGGGATATGTGTCATCTTAAAAAAATTAAAATTTTAAACCAATTTTTACATGCAAAACCTAGAATTACCAGAACTGAAAAATTGAAAAAATATTTCCCTACTTTGTATGTAAGTTTACTTTATGCATTTAGCAATACTAAATGAATATTATACAATACTAAATACCGTATTTTCCGGCATATAAGGCGACTGGGCGTATAAGACGACCCCCTAATTTTCTAGTTAAAAAATAGGTTTTCGTCTTATACTCGCCTGATAAGACTACCCCCCCTTAAGAGGCCAACCGGCAGCACCCCAGCGCCCCTCCGCCTCCCCGGCTTTGCTCCTGGTGCCTCTGGTCTGCTGGAGACGGTCCCCAGCAGACCGGGGCACCGGGAGCAAAGCCGCAGCCGCGGCGGGGTCCCTGCGCTTCTGAGGCTTTGCTCTGGCAAAGCCTCAGAGGCGCGGGACCCC